TTCTTCAGAAGAAGGGTCCAGACCCGAAACGTCAGCTTTCCTGCTCCTCTGATGCTGCTTGGCCTGCTGTGTTCATCCAGCTCTACACCTTGTTATCTCAGATTCTCCAGCATCGGCAGTTCCTACTATCTCTGAATTTGAAATTTTTCCTTTTTTTATTCATTCACACTAGTAACTTTGACTCTGTCTATACTTCTCATTGCCTCAAAGGCAGCCAACATAATCAAAGACCCCTCCAACCCCAGTTATAATCTCTCTCAGCCTCTTCTGTCAGGCAGAAGATACGAACACTTAAACACACATACCAACAGATTAGAGAACAGCTTCTTCCCCACTGTTATTAGACTTCTGAATGGACCTTTCAAATTTCAAATTTAATGCTCGCTCTTTGTGCACCTTCTCTACATCTGTAACATTGTATTCCTCACTCTGTTGTATTACCCTTTATGCACTTTGTATGGTATGATCTGCCTGTACTGCACGCAAAATAAAACTTTTTACTGTACCTAGGTACGTATGACAACAATAAATCAAATCAAATCAAAACATGTGAAAAACACTGAACATTATATTCAGGTATGGAGATGTGTTAAGTTGGTAGAATGCTGTGTGGCTATTTAACACATTTTTCAGAATTTCTGTCAATGCCAGTGCTCAAAATTAGAAAAAGGAATTGATCTCTAAGATTATTAAGTCACTAAATTGTGTATTTGAGTTGTATTTTAAGTTATATTGCTTATAGATAAATTATGTTAGAGACATTGTTATTGTTGATCCATGAAATAATGATGAAAATCTAGAGCTTATGAAGAAGCTACAGAAATGATAGTTAGAAAGATGAAAGAGAATAAGAAAAAAATGCTATAGAACAGAGGGTAAGGAAAAGATTTTTTTCTATAGATGAATTAATAGTTTGAACATTGACAAGGCAGGAAAGAGTTGCAAGATGAAAAGAGCAAGTTTGTAGTTCATATTCAGGAACTGTCACATGTAAATGAACATCCATTCCTTCCACAACTGATGCTCAATAGCAGCATTGTGTACTATCTACAAGATGCACTGCAGAAATTTGCCAAAGATCCTGAGATAGCACCTTCCAAACCGTGATCACTTCCATTAGGAGCACAATGGCATCAGATACATGGGAGCATCACCACCTGCGAATTCCCCTCCAAGCCATTCACCAGCCTAATGTGGAAGTGTACCATCATTCTCACACTGTCACTGGGTCAAAATCCTGGAATTCCCAATCAAAGGGCATTGTGTGTCAACCATGGATTGCAGCGGCTCAAGAAGACAGCCCACCAGCACTTTCTCAACGGCAACTAAGGATTGGCAATAAATGCTAGTCAGCCAGTGACATCCATGACCCATGAGTGAAAGTAAAAAAGTGAGTATTTATATTAATACTTTACCTCTGTTTTCACAGTGGAGGTAGATACCAAAATTGTAGAGAACTCAGCCATTAAAAATGTCTCACAATCAGTGGAAGTTACTCAAAGTGACTGGTAGTAAAAGAAATTGATTAAAACCAAAGATAAGCTAATCTCTAGGACCCCGGTTAATTACATCCAACCATCCTTCTCCAGCATTCTGTGGAATAAAAGGCTGGACAATGGAATAAGATCATAATATATAGGAGCAGAATTGGGCCATTCTGCACTGCCATTTGATCATGGTTGATATATTTCTCAACTTTATTCGCTTGTCTTGTCCCACCCTTGATCCCCTTACTAATCAAAGATTTTACATTAAAATATAAGAAAAATTGCAAATGCTGGAAATCTGAAATAAAAAGATGAAGTACTGGATTTGCACAGTTTGTCTGACTGGTTCTGCAGAGAGAAAATGACTAGCCGTGATTTGTTTGGGTGCTTACATGTCAGCACAATTCAATTGCTGACTGATCGCTCCATGTCCAAAGCGCTGCTATTTGTCATGTATGTTATATCCGTCTCGTAGAAAGGAAGCTTGGAAATAACAGGCAAGTTAATTTAAATTCAGTTATAAACTGAGGTGAATCAGTTGGATAGCATAACTCAGCATATGAAGAAGTATCGGAGATAGTAAGAACTGTTGATGCTGGAGTATGAGATAACACAGTGCGGAGCTGGAAGAACACAGCAGGCCAGGCAGCATCAAAGGAACAGGAAAGCTGACGTTTCAGGTCGGGACCCTTCTTCAGAAAATCTGGAGATTCCTGTTCCTCTGATGCTGCCTGGTCTGCTGTGTTCTTCCAGCTCCACACTGTGTTATGTGAAGAAGTATTCCTGATTAGGCAAGTCAGTATGAATTTCTAAAGGGCAGATCATGATTCACCATCAACCTTACAAAGTGGACAAATAACGGAAACACTGTTGTGGTTTATTGATGTTGTAAAGAAAAATTGACAAATTGCCTAGTAGAGATTTGAAGGCATGGATTTAGAGAATTTATACAGTAAATACTATGTTAAGAGCATGGTCCAAAGACGGCTTCTCAGAATGGAAAGTTGCATGAGATCATACTTTGAGATGACACTGGGGCTACTCCTACTGCTTGTTTCGCAAAAAGAGTGGGAGTATGCCATTCAGCCCTTTGAACCTGTTCCACCAGTCAGTATGATCGTGGCTGATCATCCAACTAAGTACCTTGTTCCTGCTTTCTCCCCGTACCCTTTCACCCCTTTAGCTCTAAGAACTATATCTAACTCCTCTTTTGGCCCCAACTGCTTTCTAAGGCAGAGGATTTTCAAAGCTTCAGCATTCTGAGTGGTGAAATTTTTTCTGATCTCAGTCCTAAATGGCCTACCCAGTGACCTGGTTCTGGACTCCCAGTGGAAATATCCTTCCTGTATTTACCCTGCCTGGTCCTGTTAGTTTTAATAGGTTTTTGAGATTCCCCCTGTCAAATTCTAAACTCCAGCGAATATAGTCCTAATCGATCTTCGTGTGAGAGTCCTGCAGTCTCCATAATCCGTCCTGCCATCCTAGAAATCAGTCTGATAAATCTTTCTTGCATTTCTTGTGTTGTTATACCCTCTATCCTTCCTCAGACAGAGACCAAAACTGCACACAGTTTCTCAAGGTCAGATCTAGTGTTCAATTGCACAGTGCTTCAATGCTACTGCATTTGAATCCTCTCTCAATGAAAGCCAACGTGCCATGAACTGCCTGCATCTACATGCTTATTTTCTGTAATTGGTACACAAGGACACGCAGGTCTTTTTGTACTTCCCCTTTTCCCAATCTTTTGCCATTGCTACCAAAATGGATAATCTATTACATTTATCCATGTTTACTTCATCTGTCATGCATTTCCAATTTGTTCTTCAACTTTTCCAAATCACAATGAAGCATCTCTACATCTTCCTCGCAGTTCACCCTTCTACCTAGCTTGTCATCTGCAAACTTGGAGATATTATGTTTAGTTCCCTTAATTGAATCATTAATATATGTTATGAATATCTGGCTTTCAAGCAGTGATCCACGTGGTACCCCACTCGTCATTGACTGCCACTCAGAAAATGACCCGTTTATTCGGACTTTGTTTCCTGTCTGTCAGTGAGTTCTCTATCCATTGCTAGTACACTACCCCCCAATCCTATGCACTCCAATTTTACATGGTAATTTCTTACGTGGGATGTTTTCAAAAGCCTTCTGAAAAGTTCAAGTAAACTACATCCACTGGTTTCCCCTTATCAACTCTACTGGTTACATCCGCAAAAAATTCCAACAGTCTTGTCAAACATGATTCCCCTTTAGTAAATCCATGCTGATTCTGTCCAACCCTGTCAGTATCTTCAAGGTACTCTGCTATTAAATCTTTTATAAAGCACTCTAGCATTTTCCTTAGTACCAATGTCAAGCTAATAGGTCTATAATTTCATTGCCATCTGCAATAGCTGATCTAAAATCACTTCAACTCCATTTACCTGCCTGCTTCATATAATCATTGACTCCCTGTCTGGGTATTCAGTGACCCAGCCTCCACTACTCTCTAGAAAAGAAATCCCAGAAACTGACAACCCTCTGGGAGAAAAAATTTCTCCTCACCTCTGTCTTAAGTGGGCCAAAGGGCCTCTTTCTCTGCTGTGATTCTCTAAGCCTGAATGGGACATCCTGTAATCTTGAGAGGGTGCCATCATCTGGTCAAGTATAAAACCCAAAGTTCTATCTCCCATGAGATTCATGTAAAAAAAAAAAAAAATCACAGAACTATTGAAAGGTGAA